CCCCTCCCCTCCCTCTCACCCCCCCAACCCCAGCTCGGGTCTGAAATGCTGCACACTGTCCAGCGCCTTGGGACGTCCTCCCGACGTGAAAGGCGCTATATAAATGTAATCTTCTTGTTGTTGTTGTTGACTGACAACTCACACAAAGCAAAAAACACACCAGTTAGTTCTGCAAATGGCATGGGAAACGTCTGCTTATAAACAAATTCAAACGCCAAACCATTTTCCAGCTTGTTCAGTGATGTATGAGGGGCAAATTTGAGATATACATCAGCGAGCGTAAAGTTGCACCAGGTGCAATTAAATAAAATTGAAATAAAACAATCACTTCACATAGCCCAAGCACTAGGAACAACAAACAACAACTGGCATTTATATGTTGCCTTTCATGTAGGATGGACATCTCAAAGTGCTTAGCAACAGGCAAACCTTTAAGCAAGAATGGGCAGGATACTCTGGGGTGCAATTAACATGTTGCCATGATTAAACGAAACACAAATACTTCTGTACCTTTTGTAGATAATGGATATGTACATACACAGATATGCACATAACACTGTGTAAGCAACAGAGACCTGCCTGTTTGCCATTGATAGAGTTGGCAATTCCACAACTGAACCATAGGAAATCTCAAACGTGCACTGACAGATTATGGGACACTCGGCATTGTTGTTACCAGCTGCTGCTGCCATCTGTAGCAGCAGTGCCCTCTGCCACCTAGCTTTGGTATGCTGGGGGCACTGCTCATTCTGTAGTTTGCTGCCAGTTGCTGGCTGTCCAGAAGCAGCCTCCACCAGCCAAATCTGATAAGGTCAGCCCTGGCAGTGCTGGAGCCAGCAATCAGGACCTTCTGCTTTACCCCTTCCTACGTCTGAACAGCTTACCATTTTTGTACAGGTCAAGTCAAAGCACAATTTCCCCTTCCTGTCTCCACCCAGCTGAAAGGCAGACGCATCATTGACAGTCAGCTACAAATCATATATATGAGCCATCTCTGTTCACGGTCTGATACTTGTCCTAATATTGTCCAAAAGTATCAGGTTTTTCACGCAACAATGGTGATTCTTGTGGGGAGGAGCGGATAGAGAATACAGTACCTTCCACTGTGGAAGATACAAACTTTTGTGCAACAGGAGTCCAGGACTAACACAGCTTTGTACTCCCCCTATCTTACCCACTCTGTCTCTTACATCTCCATGTCTGGGTCAGAGTGCGTCCAGCTAAGCAAATTTCTTCACCCTCTAAATGACATAGTTATCCTTAATGTCGAGGAGTGTACCAATGGAGTCTCCCCAGTTGAGACAGATGAATAGAAGGATAGTTAGCTTTGGTGAGTGCTCACCCTTCCATGTTGAATGTGTGCACACATTTACATCCTGAACAAACTGAAAACTGTTGGAGATATCACAAAGTAACTGTCAAGCTGCATGTATAGAAGTACGTATTGTAAAAATATCTAGAATTATCAGTCCATGTCAGCCCACTCCAGAGTTGGTTTGCCTTAAGCGCATAGATTTTCTTACATTGCAAGAAAGTTTTGCCAATTATCTGATGCGTTCAACTTTGGTATTGAATGTGCGTCAGAAAATTGTGGGGTCAAGGCCTGCAGATTTAAACTCATATAATCTAAGGTGACTCCAACGCAGTGCTAGGGATGTGGTGCATTATCAGAGATGCTGTCCTACAGATGAGACATTAAACCGAGGCCCCATCTGCCCATTAAAGATCCCATATCACTATTCGAAAAGAGAAGGGAATTTCTCCCGGTGTCCTGACCAACAATCCTCACAAGCAAAACTAGTCATTAACTTCATGGCTGGTTATTCAACAATGCTGTGCACAAACTGGCTGCCACTCTCACGAAACACAGTCACACCACTTTACAGTATATTCTGTGAAGTTCTTTGGGACATCCTCCTGATGTGAAAGGTGCTATACAAAATACAATATAAAATTACATTTGTAAAGCGCCTTTCACATCGAGAGGGCATGCCAAGGCGCTGGCAATATATAAGGATTATTATTATTCTGATGCTCACATCCATACATTGAATTGTATACATCCCCCAAAATAGGGTTAAATCAGAAAGAGACCAAATTATTCCATGCAATTTTTTAAACATAGATTGAAAGAACTTACATCTTTAAAGCGGCTTATGTTGAAATGTTTCAAAGCATTTCACATTATTTACTGTCAAGTGTAGTGTCAGGTTTTGTGGGTAAACACATTAATTACAGTTGAAGCCCGCTATAAGGCAACAGCTGGGTCCGCCTTATAACGGCTGTGATCAAGAGCGGACACTGGTTAGAGCACTGCATTTGTGTAGAAAAACAGCTGGCCTCTCCAGTTGACCAAATTCTGGGTTAATGTGTGACCTCTCACATGATTCCCTGTACACCGCGCATCATAGTATGTGCAGAAAAAAAATGCCATATCCAATGTTAATAAATGGCTGACTTCTGGGTCATCAGGTCACTGCCAATGTCACTTCCTAAAAGCTGTTGCAGCGTGCAAAAGATGACAATAGTAGTGACCTGATGACTGAGAATTTGAGAGGTTTTTTTTAATATGTTGGAAGCCGGCTAGTCCATGCGCTAAAACCGACAGTGCACCTGTTTTATAATGGGGTATCCTTTACTTTATACACAGTGTAAAATACCACAAAATACCACGTTGTGTGAATGACCAATTTATCTGGTGGATCACTGGCCAGGACATACATAGAATAAGAATTAATGCACTTGATACAACACCTAAAATATTGAAGGTAACTGCAGGCAGAAATGATCTGCTGAATCACTGACAACTCTAGATTTTTACTACAAGTACTGCAATACTTATTTATATTGTAGGCAACATCCTAGCCAATTTGGGGTCTTCAATAACCACTTGAATGGTTAAACAGAACCTTGGTTTAACAGATCACCCAAAGTACAGCACCTCCAACAATGCAATGCATTCACGGTGCTGTATTGGAGTGTCAGGCAAGTTTAGGAGCTCAAATCCTGACATGAGGGTTTGAAACCATAATCCAGCTAAGAGGCAAGAGTGCTGTCAGCTGAACGAAACTCACATTTTAATCTACACAGATTGTTAACTTGAAATATCTCTCCGCGTGCAAGCAATACCAGAATTTATGAATTCAAAAAACGGCAAGTTGGGAATAGCTAGATATTTTGATTCAGACCATCTCCACGCAAATATTTATTTGCACTGTCACAATAATCTGGTCTGAAAGCGGAGTAACATTCATCACGCTGAAATGGGCTGCTGAATCATTGACAACTCCAGATTTGTTTAAAAATACACATTTACTAACTTACAGCAAAATCGGTGTGACTTTCAGTGAAATATTTCAACAGGTGCTGGAGTTTTCTCAAAACCTTAACTGGAATTTGTCATTTTATTTTAGATAAACCCCACCTCACTCACACACACACACACATACACACAGAGCACTAACTGACTCACAACTTCACTCACTAAAAGATAACCTGTCAACAACACTCAGAGGAACAGAAATCGTATGTCAGAGAGAGACATCGAGTATCCCCTGCATCAAAGCACAAATATAACAGTAATAATCCTTGCATTTAATAAAGCGCCTTCTCACATTGATAAGACGTTTCAAAGCGCTTCACAGAATAAATTGTCAAGTGGATTTTATTTGCGAAACACGGCAGCCAATTGCGCACAGCAGTATCCCACAAGTGGTCGTGGATTGAGTGACCAATTTTTTTTAGGGATAGGGATGAGGGCCGGATCTGTGCTCTGCAGGGAGACAAGTACAACAGCACAAAACCTGCAATGCACGGGGGTGGGGGGACAGATTCAACATGTAGATTAACTGGGCAATGGTACAGTCAGAAGATAACAGAACACAATGGGGCGGCAAAGGGCCAACAACATGTGAATCTGACAGATAATAGAAAATGAGGTCTGGGATAACAAAGGGACAAAGAGAGGGGAAGAGGAGGAATGAAAGAAAAGTGCGGAGAGAGAGCAGAATGGATAGATGCCACTGGAAGCCACCAGATTAGCAGCAATATATTGAGAACAAACGCAGAGTCAGGAGGCGGATGAAGAGGAGAAAAGGGGAGCAGAATAAGTCCAACAAACAACAACAACAACAACAAATGACATTTTGTACATAGCCAGCGCCTTTCGCGTCTGGACCGGACAACAAAAGCCTCAAACAAGTGCTGAGAGAGGCATTATTTGTTTTTGCAGTAACTTTTTTTTTGTGTGCGTGTGTGCTTTTTCTTTCTCTCAACCCCCCCCCCCACCCCCCCACCCCCCACCACTCTGAGAGATGCACAATGTCAGTAACTTTTTTTTTGGAGGGGTGGGGGAGGGAGGGAGGGAGGGAGGTGCTTTATGTGTGTGTCCCCCCCCCACCCCCTCCCCTTTGGTGTTACATTAATGCACAATGTCAGTCACTTTTTTCGGTGTCTACTTTTTCTTTCTCTCTTTCTCTCCCCCCCCCCCCCCATCCCACCCACTCCTCACCCCCACCCCCCACCACTCTGAGAGATGCACAATGTCAGTAACTTTTTTTTTGGAGGGGTGGGGGAGGGAGGGAGGGAGGGAGGGAGGTGCTTTATGTGTGTGTCCCCCCCCCCACCCCTCCCCCTTTGGTGTTACATTAATGCACAATGTCAGTCACTTTTTTCGGTGTGTACTTTTTCTTTCTCTCTTTCTCTCTCCCCCCCCCCCCCATCCCACCCACTCCCCCCACCCCCACCACTCTGAGAGATGCACAATGTCAGTAACTTTTTTTTTGGAGGGGTGGGGGAGGGAGGGAGGGAGGGAGGTGCTTTATGTGTGTGTGTCCCCCCCACCCCTCCCCCTTTGGTGTTACATTAATGCACAATGTCAGTCACTTTTTTCGGTGTGTACTTTTTCTTTCTCTCTTTCTCTCTCCCCCCCCCATCCCACCCACTCCCCCCACCCCCACCCCCACCCCTCGCCCTGTTATTAAAGAGCTTTGCTGACTCACCGAGGATCCGGCCCAGAAGGGGCAAGAGTTCCTGACGTTGGGGGACTCGGTGAGGGACAGAGCCCCGAAGCTGAGAGAGACGATGGAGAAGCCCAGGGCGATCTGCAGCAAACCCAGAGCGAACAGAGCCCGACCATACAGCGGGCAGGGCAGCGCCTGCCGCCCGGCACAGGGGGGGCAGCGAGCCCGGCAGCGCAGGGGGGGAGCCTCCCCCACACCCCCACCCACACCCCGGCCCCGGCCACCGGGCAGCAAGAGGTGGGCAACACCACAGGCAGTGACATGAGGGGCAGAGGGAGAGGGAGGGAGGGAGGACAGGGGGAGAGGGGGAGAGGGAGGGAGAGGGAAGGAGGACAGGGGGAGGGAGAGAGGGAGGACAGGGAGGGAGTGTGAGAGGGAGGACAGGGAGAGAGGGAGGGAGTGTGAGAGGGAGGACAGGGAGAGAGTGAGAGGGAGGACAGGGAGAGAGGGAGAGGGAGGACAGGGAGAGAGGGAGAGGGAGGGAGTGTGAGAGGGAGGACAGAGAGGGGTGGAAAGTGGAAATTGAAGGCAGGATAAGAGATATCCCTGTAATCTCTGACACTCACTGACACTAACTAGTCGGGGACGAGAGTTTCCAAAAAAATAAATACATCTCTCTCTCTCTCTCTCTCTCTTCCTTTTCTTTCTTTCTCTCTCTCTCAAAAAAATATAGAACTTAAAACTATCAGAAAGAAAAAGCCCCCCCACCCCCCCCCCCCCCACACACACACACTGACTAGTCAGCACTAGAGTTTCCGAAGAACTCAATCCATCTCTTTCTTCTTTCTTTTTTTCTTTCCTTTCTCTCTTTCTTACTTTCCTTTCTCTCTCTTTCCTTTCCTTTCTCTCTCTTTCCTTTCCTTTCTCTCTCTTTCCCTTTCTTTCTTTCTTTCTTTCTTTCTTTCTTTCTTTCTTTCTTTCTTTCTTTCTTTCTTTCTTTCTTTCTTTCTTTCTTTCTTTCTTTCTTTCTTTCTTTCTTTCTTTCTTTCTTTCTTTCTTTCTTTCTTTCTTTCTTTCTTTCCTTTCTCTCTCTCCTTTCCTTTCTCTCTCCTTTCCTTTCTCTCTTTCCTTTCCTTTCTCTCTTTCTTTCTTACATTCCTTTCTCTCTCTCTCTCTTTTCCTTTCTCTCTCTTCCTTTCCTTTCTCTCTTTCCTTCTCTCTCTCTCTCTCTCTCGACAATATCGAAGTGAAACCGATCAGAAAGTAAAAGCCTTTAGGAAATGCAAACGTATCGCTCTGCTCACTGCTGCCTCTGCCCCGCGGACTGTCCCTTCAAACTTTTTCCCATGGTTTTTGTTTTGCTCTCTCTCTTCTCTCTTTTTTTCCCTCTCTCTCTCTCTCTCCCTCCCTCCCTCCCTCTTGTGAAGTGGCTGACTGAGAAGTTTTAAAATAACCACAAGCAGCCAGAGGGGATTGCGTTACAGGATCTGGCAAAGGCACAAACCAGTCACTTTAGCAGGAGTTGAGTGTGTGTGTGTGTGCACAACACCAGAGGGTAAAGACATCGTGGGATCGTCTCACTTCAACACTCTCCACCCTCCCCTCCCCTCCTCCAACTCCCTCCCTCCTTCTCCTCCTCCTCCTCCCAGTCTAAGGTCAGTCCCACTTCTGTCCCGGTGCTTGTTGTGTGCTCCCTGTGTATTTATAACAACCATTTGCATTCTGATACAGCGCCTTATCGCGCTTTCGAGAGACGTCTCAAAGCGCCCGATGGGATAAAATAATAATAGTTAATCGTCGCGTTTTCATACGGCGCCTTATCGCGTCGTTGAGACGTCTCTCCAAGCGCTTCACGGGATACTCTGTAAAGTGGATTGACTGGATTTTGTGGGCAAAACAAGACAGCCAATTGGGCACAGCAATATGCCTCAAGCAGTCTTTCAAATTAAAAAATTCTAATATTAAAATATACTGTAAAATGGAGTGACTGTGTAGTTTGTGGGAGAAATTTGCACCAAATTTGTGATATTTAGTCTCCCACCCACTCCCCAAACAGTGCCATTGGATTTTTGTTATCTTCTAAAGATAATTAACGCTTGTGTCTAACAAAAAATGAACGTATAATTTATACGATTCCCACTGTGCCCAGTCACTCTTTATCCCCGATTCATAAGCAATCCTTCTAATCCATCACTGCGCGTGTATGTCTCCAAAGTTTCCGTAATTGACTGGACTTAACAGCTTATTCCCCATCTACTTCACACCACATCGATTTTTTGAGGAGGGGATGTTTTAGCTGCAAAAAATCGTAAACTGTGTATTTGAGAAGCTTTTTTTTAAGCAGTGAAATTTGCTGGATTTCATACTTTTTAAGTTTATTTTACAAATATATGCAGACAACATATTGGTTGAGTAGGTTAGATGTAGAGTTTGTGTGTCTGTGGGAGGGGTGGGGGGGATTCCTCTATAAATTGTTATGTGAGGCTATGAACAGTTTATTAATGATATCAAGAAGTGTTAGGCCTTAGATTACACTCCCCCCCAAAAAAATGAATTCACCCTCTGAGAGTTCAGATATAGCAGTTGGAAGTAGGCATTACAGTTTTAGACAGCACCGAGTAGACAGACACCACCCACCCCACCCCAAGAAAATTACTTCACTTGAACAGAAGTAGTTAAGGTTTTAATCCCCCGCTTGTCACAATATTATTAATAATAATAACCTGTGTGTGCCAAGCACTGACGCAAGGCCTAACGTGCGTGTCCAACAACGAAACCAGCATCAGGCCGGGCGGCGTCTCAGAGCGGAGCCCGAGGCCGAGCCAAGGGGAGGGGGAAGGTGACCGTAGGCGAGGTTGAAAAGGAAGGTCTTCAGGTGTGACCTAAAGATGGGGAAGGAGGGGGTGAGGCGAGAGGGTTGAGGGAGGGAGTTCCAAAGTTTCAGGACGTGGTGTCTGAAGGCACGGCCGCTGATGGTGGAGCAGAGGATTCGGGGACACGGAGGAGGTTGGACCCAGTAGAGCGGAGGCAGCGGGTACTGCTGAGGGGGGAGAGGAGGTTAGAGAGATGGGGGGTGCCAAGGAACAGAGGGATTTAAACACTAGAGGGAGGATCTTGAAATTGATCGGCTCTGTGACAGGGAGCCAGTGGAGATCGGCAAGGACTGGGGTAATCGGGGTACGGTGTTTGGTGCGGGTGAGAATGCCGGATGGCAGAGCTTTGAATGAGCTGAATTTTGTGAATAGTGGAGGAGAAGAGACCGGCAAGGAGGGCATTAGAGTAGTCCAGCCGAGAGGTGACAAAGGCATGGACAAGGGTTTCGGCAGCTTTTGGGATGAGGTATTGTCGGATCAGTGTGAACAGGTATGAAAATGAGTGAGAACAGCCAGATGTAATATCAGTGCGAAATCTGAATGCAGACTTCAGTCCCACATAGCTCTTTTACTGACTGACTTTTTTGGGGTTATTAAGGTAAAGGATGAGATGTTAAACCAAGGTCCCGTATGTGCCTGTTTAGGCGGACGTTAAAGAATCCGTGGGCACAATTCGAAAGGAGAAGGGAGTTTCTCTCTCCCGGTGTTCTGGCCAACAGTCCTCAAGTACAAAAAATTGGTCACTCGCTCTATGGTTTTTTGTGGAATTTGCTTACGTAACTGACTGTCGCATTTTGTCGCCAAAATACAGTCACTTTATTTTACAGTACATCATGGAGTCCTTGTCTCGCAAGCAAGGAGTCCCAGGTTCGATTCCCGGGCAGGGCGAAACGGTGGGCAAGTTTCCTTACTCTACACACCTCTGATTACCTAGCAGTAAGAAGGAACCCGGTTGTTAATCGATTGGTGGATTGCTTTTGCGGGGGAAATAATCCCTTCAAACAATAATAATAATAATTTGGTCACTCAATCCAGGACTGTTTGTGGGACACTGCTGTGCGCAATTGGCTGCGTGTTTCGCCCACAAAATATAGTCAATTCACTTCACAGTATATTTTGTGAAGCGCTTTGAGACATCTCGAAGATGTGATTATTATTATTATTATTATTATTATTATTCCACCATCAATGGGTTGGGCCCCCATAACCTCGTTAGCCCTACCATGACAGATCCACTTGCACCATTGTAGTTATGCCTCTATGAAAAGATTTGGCAGTTTTGTGTTGTGTTCCTCAATCCCTCTATCTTGCCCCCTCTTGGCCCATTTTTTCTCCCACAAAATACAGCCAATCCACTTTATTGTATATTCTTTCAAGTGCTTTGAAGCAGCTCAATAACGTGATAAGGCACTATATCAAATGCAAGGATTAGTATTATTATCTTCAAATCACACCTAAAGACTTTACTCTTTGACTGTGCGTTCGGTCACCTCTCCTCACTTTCCAGCTCAGCTTCAAACCACACTGCTTTAGGAGTTCTCAGACACCACTCATTGGAAATGTGTCATTTAAATACAAGTTGTTATTATTACTGTGAGACTTGCATTCTATAGTGTGAGCTGGATTTCAGAGGAAATCTAAGAGATGCAAGTACAGTTGTATGCTAACCCATTACACTGGACAGTACATCCACTAACAACACTATCTTAATATTGTACTGTTTAGTAGAACATTTGCAGACATGTGGATAAAGCACATGTGGAATTTACCAAACTGCTCTGGCGATGCTTCTTGCTTGTGCCAGCAGTGGAGAACATACTTCATCTACTTGACCCTCTTCCCTAACTTCCAACCCCTTTTCTTCCCTGTGGAAAAGGTCAATCAATATAGCATAGTTAGAATAATGAAAGAGCAGCATCCCTATTCAAAACCCTATCCTGAGAGACATTCAGCCCAGGAATTTGCTGCATGCTTATCCACTCTATAAAACCTCCGTCATTAACTCATTACAATATACAGTAATGATAATCCTCACATTTGATATATCACCTACAACGTCAAAGCACTTCACCAGGAATTGTGCCAAGTACATTTGACTGTTTATTTGAAGGAAAATACAGCAGCCAATTTGTGCATAGCAAAGTCCCACAAACAATTATGAAGTGAATGATCAGGGTTTGAAACCACGATACTGGGAGAAACTCTTTTCAAATCAGGTCATAGGATTTTTGATATCCACTTGATCAGGTAGGTGGGACCTTGACATCGGCAAAGGATGACACCTATAATGATGCAGTATTCCCCTGGAGTGTCAGATACTCTATGAGCTCAAAGCCTATGGGGCTTAATCCACAATGTTCTGACTCAGAGATGGCAGTGCTACCAACTGAGCCAATCTGACAATTACAAACCTCTCATGCTCATTATTGTGCACATGTTTATGTACAGAGGAAATTACATATGCTTTTAATTAT